CAGGGATTGGTTCCAGAATGAACACTGGATCCAGTCAGAGTGAATCCCAGGGACTTGGACTGAAGTTACCAGGAAGAGGTGTTTTCTTCCCACTGCACTTGAACCTGGAAGAGATGAGCCTGAAGCTGCCAGGAACCAGCATGTAAGGAGGGCCTACCCCAGACTGCAGCAAACGGAGAGAGACCCACCTGAGAGATGAAGAGAGGCCAGGTCCTGAGGACGTCACTTAAGGCCCTGGGCTTTGCTTAGTCCTAAGTTCAAGGGTCCATTTACGGATGCAGGTGGCTTGCAACAGAAAGGGCCTTGACTGCTCTACTTGAAGGTGGAGAACTGGGAGAGGATGGGAAGGTGATGAGTTTCATTTTGGACACATTGATCAGGGGGCCCCGTGGATCATCCAGTTGGCAGTGTTGGAAAGATAGAGGCGTGCGATTCATTCCTTTGGAGACCATAGTTTAAATCAACCGTGGAGTAAGTGATGGTGCTCAAAGGGCCTAAAGTGAGAAGAGACGCGGGGCAAGGTCAGAACCCTGGGAGACCTAATGGAGGGACGGAAGGAGGAGGAGGACAGGAAACGTCAGTAAGGAGTTGGGGGATGGCAAACGGAATGTTCTAGAGGAAAGGGCTGAGGAGGGAGAGACTGGGCAATAGTGTCCCGCTCTGCTCTGAGGTCAAGTTGAGCAAGACTGAAAAGAAGCCAGTGGCTTGGGAAAGGAAGCCATCGGCAACTTTCTCCCCAGCAGTTCCGGGAGTGGTGGGTGTTGAAATAGGATCCAAAGGTGAAGGAGTGAGTGTAGGTGTCTCTTTAAAATCTGACCATAGGAGAGAGAGTGAGTTGCTTTAAAAAGAGCAGGGGTCGGGCCTGCTTGTGGACAGGAAGGAAGCAGCCGCGGAAAGGGGCCTGGCAAAGGAGAGAGGGAATGATGAGGGATGGGTGGGCTGAGGAGAAATGGAATCTTAGGGGCCTGGGCAGAATGCCTGACAGCGAGCAGCAGGCCTCTTCTGAGGCCTGTCCCGTTCCCTCATAGCTGGAAGCTTGGTGCTGGTTGGCCCTGTCGTCTCCCCTCCGAGGACTCCCTGTCAGCCTCAGGGAAGGTTAATTCAAGTCTATTCAGCCATGAAAATTCGGGAGCATCTCATGCTGCTTCTTGGCCCCACTGGAGTGCCCTGGGGGTCAGAAGAGGCAAGAGGGCATCTGTTTCTCCCTTGTTTGGGCTCCAGGAGCCTAGCTTTGTTTGCTAAACACCAGCATCGGATTGGGCAACTCTGCAAAGGAAGCCAAGGCTTCTGGCCAGCTGCCCAGGGTGTTTAAAGTCGCAGGCACAGAGGCAGATGTGTACGTGGACAGGCCGCATGTGAAGCAGGACCCCGGAAGAGCAAGGCCTCACGGGCCAGGTCTGGCCCAAAGGCTCCCTGGGCCCGTCTGTCCCAGCGCTCCTCAGCACAGGAGTTAGTGGTCACAAACTTCAGCCAATTTATTTCAGAAGATGACAACAGTTACATTAATAAAAGCTGAGGTGTTGGGAGAAGGGGCATCCTGTCATCTTGCAGCTCACATTCTGATCCTCAGCTTTATTCCATTAATCTAGTTATCTCATCAAGAGAACCCTCGCTAATGGCTAAAGAGAATGTCTGTGAATATTAGTTTTAATTCAATAACTCATAATATTTAAAATATGTCAACAGATTGAAAATAGAAATGGTGAATAATTGGTTGCAAACTATCTCTACAGGTGGCAGAGCGTGGCTTTTCCATCTTAAGCACAAAATAGGTACTTAGCGAATGTGATCAGCAGACGCATCCACAGCCCACCTCTTGTCTGCTGAGCCTAGCTTATGGTCAAGTTGTTGGTCTGAATGTGCTTCAGATTTTCTTGATGGAATTCCTGAAAGACCTCTATCTAAAAGATAAAATGTAATATTTAGGAAAAGAACAGGAAGCAGTGGACTACATTGAATGTTGTTTGTTAAACGTTTTCTCCTGCCCCCTGTGTTTTTATTTATGGTTACTTTATCTTTTTCCTCTCTCCCATTCTTATCATCAGTATCCAGTTTCCTGGTTTCTTGTATATTTTTCCAGGGAGATACACACACAGACTAGATATAGATACAGATATAAATATATAGATATAGATAGATGTACAGGCAAATATATATACTCCTCTCCCTCTTTTTATTTTTATTTTTTTACAAAAATTTCAGCATAGCACTGCCTTGCTTTTTTCACTTAATGATATGTCTTGGAAATCATTCCGTGTCAGCACATAAGGAGCTTTCTAATTTTCTTGACAATAATGCTGGGAAAACATAGACGGCCGCAGGAAGAGAGGAAGACCAAATATGAGATGGACTGACTACATAAAGGAGGCCACAGGCATGAGCAAAGAAGCTGAGCAGGGCTGTTGAGCACAGGACATTGTGGACGTCACTCAATCACGGGGTCACCAGGGGTTGGAGCCAACTTGATGGCATGTAACACACACAATTTTCTTGGAAAGCAGAATGATTTCCATTGTATGGATATACCATAATTGATTTAACCAATCCCCTACTGATGGACACTTAGGTTGTTTCCAGTCTTGTTGCTGTTACAGACAGAACTGCAGTGAATCATCTCTACAGACCTGGTTTTTCATCGTGTAAGTTAAAGTCGCAGGAGAGAAATTTCTTGATCCTTTGCTCGTTTGTAATTTTGATAAATATTGCCAAATTAACTTTCATAGAGTTTGTATCAATTTACGAATTGAAATGAATGAGAGTGCATTTCCCCACACCCTTACCAATGTAATGTGTTGGCAAATTTTTTGATGTTTGCCGATTTAGGGGAAATGAGTATCTTGGTGTAGTTTTGGGGTTTTTTTTAAAGATTTTATTTTTTTCCTTTTTCTCCCCAAAGCCCCCTGGTACACAGTTGTATATTCTTCATTGCGGGTCCTAGTTGTGGCATGTGGGACGCTGCCGCAGCGTGGCTTGATGAGCAGTGCCATGGTCCACGCCCAGGATTCGAACCAATGAAACACTGGCCTGCAGTGGAGCGCACGAACTTAACCACTCGGCCACGGGGCCAGGCCCTCTTGGTGTAGTTTTAATGTGCACTTCTCTTATGAGAAAAAGAGTCGTTTCCTTTTCTGTGAACTGATTACTTTAGAAAATATTTTCATCCTTACGTGTTATTGTAAAAGACTGAAACAAATCCCTAAATATCCAAAAAATTATATATAATACATAAATATATATAATATAATAAAATATATATGAAAGTTATAAAAGCAGCACTTTCGTCCCAACCTCTTGTGCTGGAGAAGCTCACTGTGACCAGCTTGAATTATCTTGGGACAAAGATCTGGAGAAGGACAGGAGCATGTCACGTCCGAGAGGTTGGTGAGGCTCCTGCCGCAACAGCCCCCCCCCATCCTCAGGAGGCCTGGCCAGAGGGCAGGGCCAGTGGCTGAGGCTGACACTGTTTAGGGAAAGGTCCACTGCCCCAGCTCCGTCCCCCAGACACACACACCACCTTCTCAGGCCACTTCTGCTTGTGCCCATGTCTCGTCTCCTTGCCTGCTCGAGGACGTTGCGCCTGTGAGTATCCACGTTCTGTCCTCCATCACCAGTCCCCACCTCTCCTGGGCCGTCCTCACCCTCTTACACACGTGCTGCTGTTTCTCCCGTCGTGATCCAACCTTCTTCTCGTACCCCAAGCCAGCCACTGCTCACGTCTCTGCTCTCTTTAAAGGAAAATTCCCAAAAAGATTGGGGTTTCCTTCTCTACCTCCTTTTCTCACGCTGTCTTTTTCAGATTCTCTATATCTGCTTTCTGCCAATGTCTCAAAGAGGAGTATTAAAATTTCCAAATATTATTGTGGATTTGTTGATTTCTTTTAGTTGTCATTTTTTTTGCTTCATGTATCGAACCTATATTATTAGGATTATTAATGAGACACAATTAGGATTATTATATCTTCTTGATGAATTGACTCTTTCTCATTATGCAATGTCCCTCTTTATCTCTGGAAATACTCTTCATCCTAAAATCGTCTTTGTCTGATGTTATCGTAGCCAGCTTAGCTTTCTTTTGATTAGTATTTCCATGATGTGCCTTTCTTCCCCATCCTTTTACTTTCTTCCTTTGGTGTCTGTGTATTTAATGAACATCATATAGCTGGGCCTTGCTCTTGTATCCAGTCTAATACTCTGTTTTCACTTGGGCTGTTTAGCCTGTTTACGTTTAGTGTAATTACTGGTGTGATTGGGTTTCAGTCCAGCATTTTTCTATGTGTCCTCAGTTTGTTCCATTCGCTCTTCGTTCCTCTGTTTCTTCCTTTCTTAATGTGGATCGAGTATACTCTAGAATTACATTTTATCTCCTCTTGTTTTTTTAAAACATGGATTTTATTTTTTAGAGTAGTTTTAGGTTCCCTGCAAAACTCAGTGAAAAGTACAGAGTGCCCAGATACCCCCTGCCCCACATCCCAACATGTCCACCCTCCCTCGCTTTCCACATCCTGCACGGGAGCAGGACATTTGTTACAATTAATGAACCTACATTTACACATCGTCATCTTCTGGGTTTTAAACTTCTTTTTTTCAGTGTTGCTCTAGAAATTACAATATTAATCCTTAAGCTATCACAGTCTACCTTGAGTTAATATCATCTCACTTCTCATATTATGTAAGAGCATAATTTCATTTACACCTTTCCTTCTCTTTGTGTTATTGTTGTCATATGTTTTATTCCTACATTTGTTATGAATACCATCACACATTGTTATTGTTTTTACTTTAACTAGTCAATAGTCTTTTAAATAAATTCTTGTAAACACCTCCATACTTACCATTTCTTTTTTTTTTTTTTTTAGTGTATAAAGAATTTTTTTTTATTTGATTTTTTTTCCTTTTTCTCCCCAAAGCCCCCCAGTACATAGTTGTATATTCTTCGTTGTGGGTCCTTCTAGTTGTGGCACGTGGGACGCTGCCTCAGCATGGCTTGATGAGCAGTGCCATGTCCGCGCCCAGGATTCGAACCAACAAAACACTGGGCCGCCTGCGGCGGAGCACACGAACTCAACCACTCAGCCATGGGGCCACCCCCATCCTTACATTTCTGATGCTCTTTGTTCCTTCCTGCAGATTTATGATTCTATCTGGGACTATTTCTCTTTAGCCTGAAGGCCATCCTTAGTATTTGTTGTATTGAAGTTCTGCTGCCAGCAAATTATCTCAGTGTTTGTTTTCCTGAAAATGCCTTTATTTTACCTTGAGTTTTGAAGGACGTTTTCACTGGATAAAGAATTCTAGGTTGGCAGTTTTCTTTCAGTGCTTTAAAGATGTTGTCCTATTATTTTCTGGCTTCCAATGTTCCTGATGAGAAGTCAGCCATAATTCTTATTGTTCTTCCCTTGAATGTGATTTGTCCTTTTTTTCTCCAGCTGATTTTTAAGAAAGTTCTCTTTATCTGTGATTTTAGTAATTTGACTATGATTTTCTGTGTATGGTGTTTTTGTATTTATCCTCCTTGAGGTGTGCTGAGTTTCTTGAATCTGTGGGTTGATATCTGTCATTCGTTTTGGAAAATGTTTGGTCATTATCTCTTCAAATATTTTCTCTGTCCCATTCTCTTTCTCCTTTCATTCTGGAACTCTAAATACACATATATTAGCCCATTTAATTTGTCCCGTAGTTCTTGGATGCTTTGTTCCATCTTATTTTATTATTCTTTTTTTTCCCTGTATGCTTTATTTTGGATAATTTCTGTTGACCCGTCTTTGATCCTTTCTTCACAGATCCTTTCTTCTGCCATGTCCAATATGCTATTAAAGTATCTCCAAGGAATTCTTCATTTCAGATACTGTATTTTTCTGTTCAAGAATTTCCATTTAAAACGTTTCATTTCTATGCTGAATTCCCCCATTTGTGCAAATGTTTTGTCCATCTTTTCCTTTAAATCCTTTAATACGTTTATATATTTAGTCTTTGCCAATTCCAGCACCTGGATTATATTGAGTTTACTGCTAGTGACTTTTTTCTCTTGACTATAGGTCACATTTCCTACTTCTTTACGTGTCTAGTAATTTCTTATTATATGTTAGACAGTTTGAATGTTACATTGTGGAAATCTGGATTATGATATCACCCTCTGAAGAGCGTTGTTGTCTTTTTTTCTGGTGGGCAGATAACTAACCAGAGGATCGTCTTGATCTTGTTGAGAATTGATTTTAGACTTTGTTACAATGAGTCAATTTCAGTTTTACCCACAGCCCTAGGGTGAAGCCCTTCTCAATAGTAGCCTTTCTAGATTTTCAGCAGAATTCTCAGAGTATTCTCCAAGGTCTCTCCTCTCTCATTGGCTCAGGACTCCAATATTACTTCAACACTGAGATCTCTGAAATCTCTGTTCAGCCCTCAGCCTCCAAGCAGGTTTTCTGCCAGGCCTTGTGGAGTCTTGCCCTGTGCTTGCACACCTTAGGATTCAGCTGTGGACCTGAAGGGAATCCCTGTGCAGATTTTGAAGGCTCCATCTCTGCTGCTTCTTCTCTGTAATCTTTCTTTGGTAATCTGCCCCACAAATTCTAGCAGTTTTAACAGCCCTAAACTCTGAACTCTCTTTCTACACCCAGTGGACTTTAGCTCTTTGCTTGGAATCTGCTTTCCTGTGCCATAGTTTGAAAACTACCCCCAGGCAGAAAGTCAAGGTGAATGTGGAGCTCAGCCTTGTGCTTCCTTTTGCTTGAGGGTGATAGCCTTGCATTGCCTGTGGTTCAATGCCTGATAGTGTTTATTTCATATATTTTGTCCAGTTTTATAGTTATTTATGTCAGGCAGATAAGTCCCATACCAGCTACTCTGCCATGGATAGAACCAGAAATTTCTCCTATTCTTCTCTGAGTCCTTTCCAATTAAGCTTTTATCCTCAAGACCCCAGTCTTTTCAAGGTCACTACTGACCTCCACTTTGCTGACTCTGATTTTCATTACGAGGTCTCATCTAACCTGAACGTTCAGCAGCAGTCTCCATTGTTGAACACCCTCTTCTTGAAACACCTTTTTTTTTCACTTGGCCTCCAGGAAACCATTGTTTCTTGATTTTCCTCTTACTTCAGTGACAGCACCACTTTAGTCTTCTTTGCTTGTTCCTCCTCATCTTCTTGGCCTCCAAGTGCTGGAAAGCCTCAGAGCTCACTAAGATCTCTTCTTTTCTCTTCTTGGGAATCGCATTGATTCCCAAGGCTTTAAATACCATCTACATATTCACAATTCCTAAATTTGTATTTCCAGCCTTGATCTCTGCCCTGAAATCCAGACTTGGGGCTCCAACTGCTTTTTTTAACATCTCCACTTGGGAGTCTAAAAAGCATCCCAAATTTAACATGTCCAAAACAGAACTTATAATTTTTTCCTTCACAAGCCTGCCTTTCCCATCTTAATAAATAACTCCAATCTTCCAGTTTTTCAGGCCAATAATTTTGGAGTCATCCTTGAAACTTCTCTTTTACTCAAACCCCACACCCAACCCACCCAAGACCTTTCGTTGGCTCAGCCTTAGAAATCTGCCCACCATCTCTCTCCTGGATTATTGCAACACTTCCTAAACAGCTTCCTTGCTTCCACCCTTGCCCTCTGTATCAGCCAGGGACATGGCAGGCTACAGATGGCACACTCAGAGGATACGACTGCAGAGAATTTATGAAAGGGGCTGATCACAAGTTGTGGGTGGGGTCAAGGGTACCAACAAGGGATAGTGAAGCATCCTGTCACCACCCCTAGGATGAGTAAGAGTGATAGATGCTAGAAAGGACCTCTTGATGGGAGCCATAGCCTTTGGCAGAAAAAGTCAGCAACTGCCACACTACAGCCCAGCAGTGAGAGAGCCAGAGGAATCTGATCTTGTGCCCCTGTCTTCCTCTGGCTGGACCTAACTGGAAGCCAAAGTGTTGGGAGTCCATTGATATAGTGCATGGAGGTTAGCCTCCCTGGGCAGAAAGCCGGGTAGAGAAGGGGATGGTGGGTTTAGAAGGCAAATGGGGAATCTCCATCAAACCCGATCCCCTCCTCACATATGCACACACTGTGGTCCATCCTCCACAGAGCAGCCAGAGTGATGTGTTCACTGCAGCAGAGCAGAGGGGAGAGCAGAGCCACAAGATGGATGGGGCCTGGGTCTGAGAAACACTCGATGGAGGGGACCTGCCTGCCGACCAGGAAACCTCTATTGTGTTTGAGTTAATAGATATTTGGGAGTCTCTTTGTTACAGTTTAGCCCACTTGACTGATACTTCTGTGAAACAAGGGTCACAAGAGTGTCATCTCCATAGGGTTGCTGGGAGAATTAAATAAGATATAATTGCTTAGGGCAATGCTTAGCATATTGTAAGTTCTCAAGCAATCATAACAATTATAAATATTTGAAATGAATACATAATCATGCTATTAATCATTTTTTTCAAATGCCTCATTACAGGTTTTGGGGATTTTTCTAGAGAATAGACAAATTGTGGAGGGTATAGGTATATATGGGAGGAGAGAATTACAGCCTCCCCCCCACAAGAGGCTTCTGGTCCACTTGGCCTCCAGGCAGAGAACCCAAGAGCTTGTTCCAGCCCTGTCCTGAGCAAAACACCCCCACTGGGGTCACACTGTGGTACCCAGTCTCCAAAGATGGCCTCACGGGACCATGACTCCCAGCACCCGCTCCCCTGGGAGGTCCCTCCCACACTGAATCTGGGCTGACCTGTGACTCAGTTCAGGATAGGGCAGAAGGTACTCTGTGCCTGTTCCAGGTCAATGCCTTCCACTCTTGCACTTTTGGGAGCCCTAAGTCGTGACAAGCAGTGTGGCTCCCCTGTGGGAGAGACCATGTGGAGGGGTCACGTGGATAGGCAGAGACCCTGAGACTCCGTGGAGATGGAGAGAGAGGCCCAGTCATCCCAATGAACCAGATGAGGCCAGCCTTCCGGTTGTCCCCGCAAAGGCACAAGCCACGTGTATGAGCCATCTGCAAGCTCTCCAGCCGGGTGGAGCCCCAGACGACGGCCACTCAGCCAACATCAGAGAGCAGAAGACTCATCTGGCTGGGCCCAGTCAACCCTCAGAGTCGAGAGAGCATAAAATGGCAGTTGTGTCAAGTCACTTAGTTTTTGGGTGGTTTGTACATGGCAGCAGGTAACCAAACAGCAACCAGAGCCGGCCCACGGGAGCAGCGTTTGCTGCCTTGAATTTCCAGCTCGCCCAGCCTCTCACTACAGGGAAACCAAGGGCCATGTTGCAACCAGATGCAGGCGGGCTGGGGTGGGATTCTCCAGGCTCTCTTGGGTGGGGGGGAGTCTGAATCCTGCCCCCTTGCCGACTGGGGAGGCTGGGCTCCCTCCGCTTGTCTCCATTCCTCTTCTTGATTGGCACTTTAATGAGGGCAGAAGGGGCTGACCCCCTGCCAGGGGGCCAGTTCATGCCCCGTTTATCTCGCAGCTCGAGGCAGACTAGAACAACACTGCAGGCGAGCGGCCGGCCAGGAGCCCCCGCCCTCGGTGATGGATTGAGTGACCGCGGCGAGTTGGCAGCTGAAGTGTGTGGTGGCTGCACCGTCCTGTCAGCGTGCAACAAAGGGGCCCGCTCGCCAAGCTGCTCTTCCCGGGAAGAATGACGAGCAGCTCCCAGGGCCCGGCCGCCCTCCCCCAACTCCAACGCCAAGTTTCAAAAGACAGGCCTGAGGATGGGGCCCAGGATGCTGGAGGAACTGTTCTGGGGTCCAGGGGGCTGGTGCATGGGGGTTGGGGAATTCTGGGCTTGCAGGAAGAGCTGGCACAGAAAACTTTTTCTCTCTGCCTCCTAGTTTCAGGGTCCAAGCCTGGGCCATATTCTCAGCAAACAGCCCTCCTGACTGTTTCATCGATGGGCTCCAGAGTCCAGCAACCTGTGGGGGATCCCAGCTGGGCCTTCTACTTGCTGTGCAACTTTGTGAGTTTGACAACCCCTCTGAGCCTTAGAACCCTCATCTGTGAGAAGCTGATAAGACTTAAGTCTCTATCACCAGGTTCCTCTGAGGATGAAATGAGACCTGCTGGCAGAGCCTGCCCTGCTAGAATGCAGGTCCTACAAGCAAGGCCTCAATTTACCTGGTTGTCTCCAACCATCTCCCCAGCACCCAGGCCTGTGTTGACTGACTCACTGAGAGCAGACTCTGGTGGCAAAGGCCCCTCAGCTGCTGTCAGGAGCAGTTCCAAGGCCCCATACCATCGGTACACAGCCCTGCAGGGTAGGGTGAACCCATTTCACCCGTGGAGAAACTGAGGCTCAGAGAGGCCAACCTGCCCAGGGCCCCACAGAGAGTAGAGATGGAACAGGGATTCCAACCCAGAGCTGTCTAGCTCCAAAGTCTATGCAGACATTCCCAAGGCCCTGGGGTCCAGGCTGGAATTTCCCTGTGAGGACGGGTGGGAAGCCGGCGTCAGCCCCCGGGCGCCCGTGGGGGAAGTGCCAGGGCCTTGTCTGGGCCTCGCCGGGCTCCAGGCAGCCGTCCTTCTCCTCGTCCCCGTGCCGCAGGGTGAACTACAGCTCTGAGCTGTTCCCCACACCTCGAGGGGGGCAGAGGCCACCAAGGGAAGGGCAGTCGCTCGCTCAGAGGCGTCGCAGTGCTCTCAGCCCCAGGGCCCCGGGGCGGGGCCCCTCCCACCTAGCCCGCACCCAGGCCAGGCCAGTCACAGGAGCCCCCGCTGCTTGGTCCCTGGAGCTGGGGCAGGGAGAGGACAGAGGGGGACAAATGGCTCTTCAGGTCCCAAAGAGCCCTGGAAGGGGAGGAAGGGGCCTTCCCCGGCCTCCCTGGAGAGGAAGGAAGCAGCCTCCACTCGAGATTCACCTCCCTGTGAACTCCCGGAGGCAGGAGGCCAAGCCCCGGAGAGGTCAGAGTAAGGAGCAGGGCGACAGTGGGGCCCCACAGGGCAGCCCTCACGCCCTGCTGCGTGTCCTCCCAAAGTGGGCCTCTGCCCCTCAGCCCCCGACAGCTCTGTCCCCTCAGCCCCCCGACAGCTCTGTCCCCTCAGCCCCCGACAGCTCTGTCCCCTCAGCCCCCCGACAGCTCTGCCCCATCCAACAAGAGATGAGCTGCCCAGGTGGGGCAGGGATGGATGGGGCCCTAAGGATGGGCTGAGCGGGAGAGGGTCCCCTGGACGCTGAGCCAGCAGATCGGGAGGGACCCTCCCTTGCAGCCCGGAGTCCCAGGGACGGACCCCGAGCCAGCTGAGCAGGGGCTTAAAGCTGTCTCTTCCTGCTCTGGGGCTTTGCATGTGCTGCTGCCTTTGTCTCAGAAAGTCTTTCCCCTCTTGGCCTGGTTACCTCCCAGTCAGCCTCCAGAGCTCACCTCAAATGTCACCTTCTCTCGGAAGCTTTCCCTAACTGACACCCCTCCCTCCCGCAGACCCCCAGTCGGAATGAGTCACAGCCCCGGCTTGTAGCCTGAAGAGCTCCACCGGCCCTTCCTTCACAGTTCATGCGTGTTACGAGTCGCCTTCCGTCTGTCTGTGTGGGTATTTGGTCCATGATGATGAGCTTGTGTGGACAGGGGCCTTCGCTGCTCACCTAGGCGTCCCCAGCCCCTGGCAGACAGCCTGGCACAGCAGATGCTCAATAAATACTTGCAGACCAGATACCATTGCCAGCGTGCGTCTCCCAGTAAACTGGGGACTCTCCTGGGGCAGGGACGTGTCCTGTCTTGTTCATCATTATAGCCCCAAACTCAGAGCCTTGCACAGAGAAGGCTCTTGTGGGATATTTGGTAAATGAATGAATTTGCTGCAGAAGAAAAAAGAAAGCAAGAGCAGCCATAACCACAAAATCAAGGAAGCTGACCTAGTTTGGGGCAAGAACTGCTGAGAATGAGGAGATTCTGAGTCCTTTCATTTCAAAAGAATTGTTCCACATGCTTCACTGAGCCAGGTCCCTGGGGAACCATGACATCAGGGAAAGCTGACTGAGCCTGAGACAAGATCAACTAAATTACTCCAACTGGTCGACCTCTGCCGACTCTCATGTCTGCCCACTTGCTCTTGGACAGTTGAAGGAGAGAGGTGACCCTAACACAATCCAGGACAGCTCTGAAAAAGGAACAGACATCAAAAACCACAAACTTTCCAATATTCTAAGTTTGTGAACAAAGTAGAATGTCTGGAAATGGGAGGTAAAGGAAGAATGGCTACAATATATAAAGAGCTCATTAAAATAAACAAGACAAACATCAAGAGTCCAAGATATGTGAGCAAAGAGCATGAAAAGATCATTTACATACAAAGAAATCAGAGTAAAGCAGCTGACATTCATGGAGTGCTTATCCTGGGGTAAGCATCCCATCAAGAGTTTTACATATCAGGGGCTGGGCTGTGGTCGAGTGGTTGAGTTCCTGTGCTCTGCTTTGGCAGCCTGAGGTTCCCCAGTTCAGATCCTGGGCGCAGACCGACACACCGCTCATCAGGCCATGCTGTGGTGGCATCCCACATAAAAAAGCCAGAATGACCTAGAACTATGATATACAGCTATGTACTGGGGCTTTGGGGAGAAAAAAAAAAGAGGAAGATTGGCAACAGACGTTATCTCAAGACCAATCTTCCTCACCACAAGAAGCATACCAAAAAAAAAAGTTTTACATCTTATTTAATCATCACAGGAAGTCCAGCAAGAAAATTCAACCAACAAATGTGAAGTTAGGTGACTGTGACATGTTCCTCATTTTTTCTATAGTATCTATGAAATGCTGTAATCTTTTTGTTTGTCCCAAGAAAACTCTTGCATTGCTGTCTTAATGAAATCTCTCCAGCCCTGCTGGTCTCTGCAGGATATAATTCATTCATTCAGCTGTGAAAGGCCGGAAAATGTTTACATATTCACAACTCCGATGTCTGTGTCTGGAATAAAATTAACTTATTTCTGAGTTGTCTGGGTTCTGTGGGTAACGTGATTACTATCATATAGTCAAGCTACTCTTGAAAGACTCGTTTAGCAGTCCTGAGGAATAGTAGAAACATGAAAATACGTTGTAAGCTTTTAGGGCAAAGACCGTGCTTTGATTCTGGTTCTCTGAAAGTGCTCCTGGGCCTAAAGCTCCTATAAATACACAGATGAAAAGAAAGTGATTGGCTGAACTGGAAAAAAAAAAAAAGGGATCGCAAGGACCCCATGAGGAGGCGGCATCATCCCTCTTATATCTGCCTGTCTGGGGCTGGAGGTTCGTGAACTGACCGCGCTCACCTGCTCTGAACCAGCGCGTTGGGAAGATTTATCCTCAGGACGATCCTAGAAGAGCAGGTGAAGGCAGCCCCGGGGGACTGGTTTACTAGTACCAAGTTAGCCAGACCACGGGTAAGGCCACGCCCGGTCCCGGCAGGCGTGCAGAGAAATTCACAGCCGTACCCTGCAGCCGGCGGCATTGCACATTGGTGTCGCTCTTTTGAAAATAAACGGGATGACACCCAGAAAGAAGCCATACAACGATTTATGTTCTTGGTCCCTATAAGCCTCTGTTGAAATTCATCCCCAGGAAAAGGTCTAAAAGACGCAAAAAGCCACAGCTGCTAAAATATGTACGGTATCGTCAACAGCAAAAAACCCTGGACACAACCTCTGTGTCCATTAGGCGAAGAACTTACCAAAAATATGGGAAGGCCACATGGAGGCATTGGATAAAGCCATTAAAATGGGCTTTAAAGTGAAAATTGTGAGGATTTTGTGGAAATACAGAAAACACCTAACGAAGTGCTAAGTAAACATGGTGCGTCATAAGCACGAGAGAGGGGCCCTCTGGACAAGCTCGTCTGTGCTGAGCTGCGGCCGAGGGCCCACTGCGGGCAGGAGCATGGCACTTGCTCGGGCAGTTGGTGAATGAATGCCCAATGTATTTTGCATTCATTTTTTTCTTTCTTGTCACGACACCATCTTTTTAATAATACTAAATAAATATTCTAAAACAATGAACCCATGGAGGGACCATCTGCTCTGGGAAGCCCCTGGCCCGGGAACTGTGGGAAAGACAGGAAGCAGAAAGGTCAGCGCGCCCCAGGGAAATCCCACTGTCGGCCGGGTGGGCGGCACGCAGGGGAACCCGCGGCTCTGGGAGCAGGACGCTGGTGACCACAATGACCCGTTCTCAAAGCGGTCCGCTCTCTTTGAAGGATCACATGAGTTTATCCCCACATTCATTCGTTCAATCACTCTTTCGACATGGGAATGGGGCACCTCCTGGGTGACAGAGTCAGCGGTCACGGGGCGGCCCGGGAAGGCAGCCCTAATGCAGCGAGGCGTCTACCGAGACCTGAATGCGTTTTAACATTATTGTAATTTTTTAAAGGGAGTGTATATTATTTTTATAATCAGGAAACACAGAACTAATTTCGTGTTAGGAGGAAGAAGCAGGGTGACGGTTTATGGAATCGCACGAAGGGTCCCTGAGCTCAGGGACCTCCTTGTAGGAGAGCCAAATTCTCAGCCTTTCTGCCCTGGGCCCCAGTTCCTGGTCCAGGATTATGGGGTGATGCCCCCAGGGTCCATCCCAATTGTTCCCTGCCCACCAGCTGCCAGGCTCCTGACCCCGAGAAGGACCAGGCGGGAGGGAACGACTATCTGACAGCACAGCCACTCTCTGAGGAGCACAGCTCAAGGGCCCCAGGTTCTCGACATCATCTGCCCCCCTCAGGGAGGTGGGTGTGCCTCGAGCTGACAACAGGAAGACAATCTACCAAGAGGGCCAAGGGCAAACCTAAGGTCATGACCTTGGTCTGGCCTCTGACCCTGCCCATCAGCCCTGTGCTTCAGGCCTGCTGGCCTTCAACCTCACCCCTCACCACTCCCTTACCAAAGTTGTCCCCTCCTTATCATAACGACCTCAGCTCAAATGTCACTCCTCCTCCAGGCCTTCACTGACCCCCTGGTCCCTGGTATTTACCCTTGCGGTTGCTCTGTGTGCCTGTCTGTCTGTCTCTCTGTCTCTCTGCTCTGCCGGCCCCCACCCCCTGCACAGGCTCGCTGCTCCATAGTTGGGGGCACCTCACCCACTCATCCTCTGCGTCTCCCGGCACCAGGCCCAGTGCTCAGCATGTGCTGGCCCTCGGTCCACACGTGCCACGGCATGCGAGAATGCCAGGTGACCGCCAGCCCCTCCCCCGGGGGTCCTGCCGGGTCCCACACTTCCTCCGGGCGCCATCCGTGCATCCAGGCTGGGCAGCTACCATGAGGGGACACTGGGAGGAGACAGCCAGGTGCCTGGGCCTCGGGACCTCCTCCAGCTCTTCTGCAGACCCCCTTCCTGTTGACTGTCCTTGGGGTCTGCTTGGTGCCCATGCTCTCCTCCCACACACACTTTGTGGCCCCGGGGCCTGGCTCCGAGAAGGCTCTGGTGACTGAGGGGCAAGCCCGTCTGTGGCAGGGAGCCTGGGGCAATAGCCGTCACGTGTGGGGACCCCTCTAGCCCTAGGGAGGGCCTGCTCCTTTGCCCCCTGAAGATGGAGCTGGTCCCTCAGGAGGTGGCTCAGGCCAGAAACAAGCAACGAAGGCGGTTGGGTGGAGGGTCCCGCTGGAGACGCCGCCTGGAACTCCAGGGCCAGCTTCGGAGAAGACTCACAGGGCCCTGTCAGAGGCAGGTGCCCTGCCTGGGGGACGGTGTCGGGTCAGGGGGCCGTGTGGCCATCCTGCCAAGTCTGAACTTGAGGCCGGGTCAGATCCCCGTTCCTGAAGGTGGCCTGGAAGCTCCTCGCTGGGCCGTGGCCCTGGAGCCTGTCCTGAGAGCTCCATCCTCATCCCCACTTGGGGTGGCAGAGGCCATGGTTGGGGGAAGAGGCAGGTGACAACCCCCCAGAGGTGGCAGCGACGGGCGGGAGCTGCCGCCACCTGAGAGTGGGCGAGAAGCAGGTTAGCTGGGTGAAAAGTTCACCGGGAGGGGAGCTGTCTGTTTCCCTCGCTTAATTTATCCACTATTTGGCTAACCTTGCTCTGAACCCAGGCCCCGAGACCCCTTTCCTCTCTCCCCCGCCTCCCCACTGGGCTTCCGAGCCGCCACCAGACCTCCCGCCCCGCGCCAAGAGGCGGGCCACGCCGGCCTTGGAGAGGCCTCGGCCTGCGGCCGCCCCGGGGGAGAAGCTGGCTGCCTGGCCAGGCGGTTATTTATGACCTGAACCTTCCGTCGCCAGTAACCAAAATAAAGTCCGGTTGCTGGCGAGGGCCAGGCCCCCAAATGCCAGACATGGGCCACGGAGCCTGCCCCGCCCGCCTCCGACACATACACAACTGCTCCGGAGACAGTGACCTTTCCTCCGGGGGCCATCTGTCATCCTGGCCCGGGGCAGGAGCCGGACGCATGGACCAGCCGGCCATGAAGGGGAGGCCAGCCTCCTTCCCTGGTCCTGGGCTGGCCCCTGGTCCAGGCCGTCCCCGTCCGTCCTGGCCGCACCGGGCGGGCTGGTCACACAGACCGCTCCCATCTTTACCTCCTCTTCTGACACATGCTGGGGGGACGTGGGCGGAGGGAACAGAGGGAGACGGGTCGGGGGAGGGCAGGTCTGGGAGGGCTGGGGGTGGAGGGGAGAGGACAGCCACAGAGCAGTGGCAGCCACCCCTGCGCCACGCAAAGCACGTGACACGTGTGGTCTCCCCTAATCCACGCGGCAGCCCCATTTCTCGACAGAAAGACCGGGCCGGGGTGGGCTGAGCCGACTTCCTTGGCCTCCAGGTTGTTGATGACTGAACAGGAGCCAGCCCAGGTCGCTCTGACCCCAGAGCCAGCGCTCTCGGCCACGGCATTCACTGTCCCGTTCTCACTTTTCCTTCTTTCATTGAAATCCCTTTTCCCAGACCTATAAAAGCAACACTAAGTTACAGCAACCGGTGAAAACACAATGATGCATAAAGAGCGGAGCGTCCCAGCTCGCCCACCCGCGTCCAGGTGACCTTCTGCCGCTTTCTCAGCACTTACAAATGCACACAAGCTGGCCCGCGTGGGTGTGAGTGTGCACGCTGGGCCGGGTGCGGACAGGGAGTCCCTTGTTTGTGCAAGAACGGGCCCCGCTGTACACAGGACTAACAGGACAGCGTGGGGCGGCTCCCAGCCTGTCAGCCCCACCTCCAGCGACTCCCAAGTCACCCCCTCATTACATTGGCCCCCTCCCTCTCAGTCCAGATGACTGAGCAGCTCCCGATTCTGCCGCGTCCCCCACAATCAGCTCTCTCTGGATGCGGGATGAACTCTAGAAGGCGAGTCTGATCACGTCGCCACCTCCGGAGAAGGGCCCAGACCCTTGCCAGGGCCCACCGTGTCCTTTAGGACTTGGCCTTCCTGACCCTCCAGAGCCCCGGTGGCCCCTTGCTGCAGCTGCTCCGACCTCCTTCGGTCGCCGACGCTGCTCTAGCTGGCCTTCCCGCTCCGCTCCTCCCCTGGGAGGCCGCCTGGGTGTCCGCTAAGGCCAGCCCATCCCGTCGAACCCGCGTCCCATCTACCCCGTCACTACATGAGTCGGGCAGCTCCCCGCTGGGCCGAGAGCTCGGGTGGCCACCACCTCCCCCAGCACCTGACCCGAGTGGGCCTTTCAGAACTATTTGCTGGAAGCTGAGTGACACTCAGTGACCCATTCTACTCTTCCCTGAATCCCTCCATTCGGGGGGGCACCGCCCCCTGGCGCTCCTGGCCTCTCGCTCCCGCTGGACCGGAGCTCCTGCTGCCACATGGGGACGAAAGGCTTTTTTAACCAGTCCCAGCCTCTTGGGCGCCATTTTCTGTCCCTGGTCCGTGGGGAGTGGTGGCGGGAGGTGGGCGGAGGCAGAGTGCAATGGTGTGGCCCCCAGGAGGGCGCCTTCCCTGCCTCGGAGCAGCCCCACAAGAAACTGCCAGAAATGACTGGTCAGCTGCCAAGCACCATGCCTGCCAGCTGCCCACCGGGGTGCCTGCTG